AGATTCTTGAATTCCAAGCGTTGTTACATGACTTCGATACTATGCTACATGGATATTTAAGTACATATGTATAACTACTTATGTATATGTACTTAAATATATGAATATAAATGTGTATTTGCATGTATGTATGTATGTATGTATGTATGTGAAATATAGCAAGTTACAAATGTGATATTCTTTAAGTAGTATAAGTAACTTGAAAATTGTAATATGTTTCTATGTCTAATTAAAGTCTACCCTAATTTCTAGGAACTTTACATTCACAAAGGGATTGAAAAGATTGATTTATAGGAATTGTTTGATTTATTTGATCAGTATTTTCATTAATTAATGTAAGTAAATTTTATTTAGGGTGAGAGGTGCGTGATGAACATACACCCAGTTTAATCCTACTAATAAGATTTATTTAAAACAAGTATTAGAAAAAGTATAATATTAGTTTCACAATGTTACGGTTACAACTTAGATGAGCTATGACTGTATTCTTACAACTGATACAACTGCGACTGTTACAACTGATGTCTAACTACAGCTACAACCATGACTACTGTGACTACTGCTCTACTTCTACGACTGAAACTGCTTCCTTCTCATTTCTTTCCACGTCTTTTACATCAGAAATGACCTACACCCCTTTTGAGAGGGAAGGAGCTTACGAATCTTATTGACCAATAGCATAAGGATCCACCCCATAGTCCACTGACAGGTACAGCCTATGGTTTTCGGTAGTGGGAACTATGTATACAGAAACTTAATCTAGCACATCGGAATGTTATCCTTTTTATGGTATCCCATATGTTTACACAGTTATCTGAAATTCTTCATAGGGTCCCGACACTGCACACATGGTTTTTTTATTGCACCAATATATCCTGATAATCCTTAAGGTTCGTTTATGGTTTTATGGTCTACCTGATCTTTTCTTTTAGTCTCTGAATAGACTTTTCCTTTTCAATAAAATAAGATATACAGAAAGGACTGAATACTAGTTTCTTTTTTGTCTACATCTGCTACACTTAAAACTCTCCTACATTAATAATAAATATTGTGTAGAAATAATTTATTGTAAATTGTGTAAAACATTTGAATTATACAATATTCATTTTATTGATTAATTACTGATTACAGACAACAAACAAAAGGAAAAAATTCTCTCTGTTGAATTCTGAAGCAATTTTTTTGTTTCTGTTGGTCACGTTTTTAGTTGCGTGATAGTTGTACGAAAATTCTTAGAGAAAATTTATCGTCAATCGTGATTAAAAGTTGACATTGAATCGGACAACACGCGCTTAAGGAATTGGGGCCACTCCAACAACGTTCAGATTTATTGATTTTTTTGCAAACGTATTTTCCACGGTCAAAACTAACGAGCTCGAATTTTTCTTCTTTCTTTTTTTTTCTCTCTTTTTTTCTCCCTACATTCTCCTATTTTTTTTGTCCCCACCCTTTTCACTTGAAGAAACAAAAAAAAAGAAAAAGAAAAAGAAGAAGTCAACACTTCTAAATCAACATTTGAAACGAAACGACAAATACAACGTGTCTCCAACGCACACACACACTTGGTAGAAATAAAAGTTGAGATAGGTGGTGAGTTTTTTTTTTTTTGTAAGGGTTGGACCATCCCTCAGTGGAGGAAAAAAGTTTTCAACGAAAACTTTTTTATGAAGGAAACTTTGAGATTGCATTCTTTGGGATAACATAATTTAATAACGATCCTGATGAGAGAATGACCAAAGGATACCAAAGCAAAAAAAAGAAAAGAAAACAAATACAATCTTCTTAAAAGTAACCCCCTTTTTATTTTCACATTTATTTTATTTCTTTTTTTTTTAATTATTCTAAGTTGAAATGTAAGATTTTTAATGCATTAGTTTGAAGTATCCTTTTGTTGTTACAAATTAAAAAAGAAAATGAAAGAAGCTTACTGCTGTTATGACTGCTGCAATTGCTGTAAACTATTTTAAAATTATTTTTTATTATTTTTATTTTTTTTATAATATTCGTTATTAATTTTTATAATTATAATAAGCGTTTATATTTTTGTAATTATCTCTTGTTATTTATTTATTTATTTATAACTTGTTTTTTAGTTCTTTTCTTTTTTCTGTACAAAGTTTTGAGGTTACATTATTTGGGATAACCTAATTTAATAATAACCTTGATAACCTTTTTATATTATTTTTTCATTTTTCTACGTTAAAATGTTAACTTAATTGCATTACTTTGAAATGCCCTTTTTTATTGTTAAAAATCAAATTGAAAGAAACTTTTGGCTGTAACTACTACTGCCGCCATTTTATTGCAACTGTTACAATTACCGCACGTTTATATTTTTATAATTATCCCTTTTTATACATCCTTTTTATGATAACGTAATTTAATAACAACCTTGATTAAAGAATGACCAAAGGATAGTAACTAAAACAAAAAATAAAAACAATCTTCTTAAAGTGACCCCTTTTTATTTTATTTTAATTTTTTTAAATTTTTTTTAGGTTAGAATGTTAGATTTAATGCATTAGTTTGAAGTACCTATCCTTTTATTGTTAAAAATAAAATTAAAAGAACGTACCTTTACTGTGCAAGTTGCAACTGCTGCAACTGCGTTTATATTTTGCTTTTATTATCTCTTTTTATTTATTTATTTCTTTATTTCGTTCTCTTACTCTCAATCATCCTCATTTTACATATATATATATACATATGTACATATAGAGATAACTAAAACCACATTTATCGATTGTCTTCTTTCTCGACAATATCCATGAAGAGAGAAAACGAGTGAAAAAGGGGTGAGAAGGGGGGTGGAAACGGATAGATAGGGATAGGAAGTTACTGGTCATCGAAAACGAATTGAATTTATCGATGAATTGTTGTGTGCATGTGTATGTATGTGGACTGCATTGCGGTGACTTTTCCAACGCAACATAACTATTCCATTGAACTGAAAAGGAGTGGTTCTGCCAAGGGCTCGTTTCGTTCACAACCCTCTTGTGGAAAGTAAATGGGTAGAGTTCGAATGATTAACTCTATATTTCTCCCTTTTTCCTTTATTCTATCCATCTCTCAATCTCTATGTATTTATTTATATCTAGTTATTTACATTTATCTAGAAATTCTATTCGAAGGTAGTAATTTTCATTTCAACAGATCTTTCCTATTATTTTTTTTATCTTTATATAGAAAAATTCAGCGTCACATTTGTTGATTTTCCAATGAAGTTTCCAATGAAGTATGCAATGAAGTATGCAATGAAGTTTGCAATGAAGTATGGAGGGTAGAGGTAAGAAGAATCATCTGTATATATGAAAAGTGTCCGTCGAAATGCATTAAATTAGGGTGGCGCCACTAGCATCAGGGTAAATTTTAAAGAGCCAAATATTATTAGAGTAGGATTGAGAAATAAACAAGGAACACAAATTTCACAACACTAATTGTACCCATAACTGTTTTTTGTTATTCACATACTTTTTCATAAAATTTAAATGATAAAAAATCAATAAACGTACTATTCACAGTTGACGAAATAAAATCACTCTAGCTACACATTGTTTTCTCATAATAATTCTTTAAGGTTATATTTACTACATTATTACATAACTCGGCATACTTCAATTCGTTTACAATTGCTACATTCATACTATACCAAGTGTCTACACTAGCGCCATTCTGGAAGGTTTTTGAACTGTTGTTTATAGCATACGTTTGACACTTTTTCAAATTTACTCCCATATGAGATGATACTCCTTACCTTTGCTTTCCATATTTAAATATACAATATATAGTATTATATATTTAATTTTAGGTTATCTAAGTTTCTAGATACTGAAAGTTTTCAATAGATGGCTCTATTGTACAATTCAATTATTTCAATTTGCATACAACACATAACCTTATATAAATAATATAATATACTATAGAGTAATATCATAGTATTATATTATANAGCGCCATTCTGGAAGGTTTTTGAACTGTTGTTTATAGCATACGTTTGACACTTTTTCAAATTTACTCCCATATGAGATGATACTCCTTACCTTTGCTTTCCATATTTAAATATACAATATATAGTATTATATATTTAATTTTAGGTTATCTAAGTTTCTAGATACTGAAAGTTTTCAATAGATGGCTCTATTGTACAATTCAATTATTTCAATTTGCATACAACACATAACCTTATATAAATAATATAATATACTATAGAGTAATATCATAGTATTATATTATACTGGGTTGTTCGTAAAGTAATTTCATTTTTTCCTGACACAATAATGGCATTGGTTAATGCAAACCGACTAATAGAAAGACATGAGATAGATGAGAGGTTAAATTTATCAAATTCAACTGTTTATGCTCATTTGAAAAAGTCCTAGGTTTTAATCTCGAAGCGAAAATTGTCTTCATTTTGAAAAAAAGAAAAATGAAATTACTTTTCGAATAACCCAATAATATAATCCATGTTATATCATTATATTAATGTATGTATTTTCTTTTTTTAAATATTTATTCTCTTTCAATATATATTTTTATAAGAATGGTAAAGATAAATACACACACGAACACACACTCAATTGATTTGGATAAAATTAACGAGTATTCTATTAAATCCATTAATTTATACTTTGTTTATACGACGTAGGTAAATACAAAACGAAGCTTTCGTATCGATGCAATAAGGGATTTGTCTCTCGTTTATTTGAATCGGTATTCTCTTGAATTTCCGGATTTCCAGGACCACCACCACCACCACCACCATCACCCACCCACCCCTGTCACGTTGAATTTATAGTGAAAATCCGTTAGTTCGATAAATCAGAGTACTTGATACGCAAAGGACTGTGTTCCGGTTACTACTGATAATTCTTTTATTCCAACTACTTTCTTTCTTTCTTTCTTTCTTTCTTTCTTTCTTTCTTTATCTTTTTTCCAATTTTTCTTTCACCATAGAATTTAATCACCATTTTTCATTCCTTCTTTCTTATCTTTTGTTTCAGTTACTGAAAAGGAAATTCGACAGTGGTAAGTTTAACCAACACATACATGCACACACAGATATGGATAATTGTTATTATTTTTTGTTTTTTTTTTTGATAAAAACTAAATTGAATTTTAATTTAATTTATTATACTTGTAAAGAAATTTTGATTTTTTGTTGTAATATTTATAACAATTTTTATATAAATTATTTCTTTGTTTGACGTTCGAACTTTTGAATGAATTCATTCGAAACAATTATTTAAAAATGAGTTCATTTTTTTTTTATTTGTTATAATCTTTATAAACAAAATATATTTTTGCTAATATTAATTATTATTATTATTGTAAAAAGATTTTGATAAGATTACATTTTTCTAATCTCATAAAAATATTATCAAATTTATTTTTTATTTATTTTTATTTTAATTAAAATTTGTTCTCAGGCACAAAGGTTTTCTCAAGGATTGTCCAGACGGTTTATTAACAGAAGAGGTAAGAGACAATTGTTAATATTTTCTAATAAAATAATATAATTGTAATAATTATTTAACTTGCTAATATTTCAGGGTTTTATTAAAATCTACAAGCAGTTCTTTCCCCAAGGTGACCCATCCAAGTTTGCATCCCTAGTCTTCAGGGTGTTCGATGAGAATAGCGTGAGTGTCACCAAATTAAATAAGGGTTGACTTCCAGTCTCCCATATATATACATAACTTGCATTAGATTTTTATTTTTATTATGTTAGGTTAGAAAACTTATAAATTTACATTAGAAAAATAACAGAATACAATTTTGTTGTTGATTAATTACAAAATTAAAATTATGATTTTAATTTTGTGATTATACTAATATTATTTTCGAGATTTGATTAACAAAAAAAATAAAAAATAAAAATAAAAATAAAATAATTCAAGTTTGATTCTACGAATATTATTTTCGAAATTCGATTACTATAAATGAATAAATTACAAAAAATAAAATAGAATAAAAACATAAAATAAAGTAAAAAATAAAATAATTCAGTTTTGATTCTACGAATATTATTTTCGAGATTTGATTACCAAAAAAATAAAATAAAATAAAAATAAAAATAAAATAATTCAATTTTGATTATACGAATAATATTTTTAAGATTCGATTGCTATGAACGGATGATTAATAAAATAAAATAAAATAAAAATAAGATCCAATAAACTGTAGACACCTGTCTCATTCTTATTGTATTAAGTATGATTTTTTTGTTTCTATTTATTTTTCTTTTTTTTTCTTCTTTTTTTTTTTTTGCAGGATGGTACGATAGAATTTGAAGAATTCATAAGAGCACTTTCTGTTACGTCACGAGGCAAATTGGACGAGAAGCTACACTGTAAGTAACTAACGAGTTGCTAAGAAAAACTGAGGGATGTGAGAGAGAGAGAGGATGAGTTAGGTTTTTAGGATGGTAGTTGGAGGAACAGTTGAATCCTTTTTCTCAAGGAGATAAACTTTATCTTTGTGAAAATATAAGAGAAAAGATTTTTCTACTATTTCTCTGAGAAACTCTTATAAGGGGATTTTAACCCTCTATGAGAGGAACTTGTAATTTTTCATACTTTTTTGTTTTCTTTTTTTTTCTCTCTCTCTCTCTCTCTCTCCTCTCTCCTCTCTCTCACTCACAAACTTTTTTCATTTTATTAGATTCGTCAATTATATTTTTATTTTATGTGTTCAAAGTCTTACAAAGTTTCCTTTCTTCTTTTTTATTATCTTTGAAGTTTATGATACAGATAATTAGATTTAATTTAATAAGGGTTGTGTAATAACTTTTTTTTTTTTTAAGTTTACAATAATAATAAAAATATTCAACATTGTTCTTATAATTTATTTATATAATAAATGGTATTAAATATTTGATAAAAAATTAATTTGTAAGAAATTGTAAATAAAAATATTATATTTAACAACAATAACATTACATTTAATTACTAATACTACTATTAATCTAATAATATTATAAATATATAAATATATTAGTAGAAAAATAATATTATATAATTCATAAATATAATAATTTATTTAACAAAATTTATAATATGTATTAATATTTGTTTTTCAATTATAATAGTATAAAATTATCAAATATTAGGTTATTAACTATGAAATGTCTGATTACTCGGATTATTTTCATCTTGAAATCAAACATTTCATATTTAATGACCTAATATAATAATTAATATATTAGTGGTCTGTGGCACGGTGTTAACATCTCTGATTCATAACCGCGGTATCGTGGGTTCGAATCCCTGCCAGTCGCGCAAAAAATTACAAAAAAAAATTTTATATCATTAAATAAATATTAAATATAATATTTATATTATATATTTTTTAAATATGATATTATATTATAATATTATATTTAATAATAATATTAATACAACTATATTAATTATAATATTATATAATTATTAAATATATTATTATAATATTTATAATTAATATAATTATTAAATATAATATTATATATTATGATATAATATTGTATTAAATATATTATATATTATTATATCAAATATATAATATTATATATAAGATATAATATCTTAATATTATAATAAATAAATATATAAATATAATAATATTATAGAATAAATATATAATATATATAATTTGATTTATTATAATAAAAAATGAACTTACTTTCTAAATAAAAACATATATTCAAATAAAATAGAAATAAATTCAAATTCTCACGCGTATGTGTTTCTTTTACATATTATACATGACGTATAACGATACATATGTCAGATATATTTTAAAATATTGTCACGATTTTGATACTTGTCTTACAGGGGCCTTCCGATTGTACGACGTTGACGACGACGGTTTTATCACAAGAGAAGAAATGTATGATATCGTTGACGCCATATATCAAATGGTGGTGAGTACCTAGCTCAAAGCAGAACGAATGTTCTTTTGCACACACCCTCACATACGTAAAAAAGAAAAGAATAAAGGATTATATACTTCTGTGTGGTTGAAAAGGGAGATAAAACGTTTTATTACGTTTTTTTATATCAGAATATATTTCTTGTTTTTCTAACAGTACTCTTATAGCCAATAGTAATCATTCTAACTTTTTTTTACTACATATATATATATATATATATATATATATATGTAATATAGTATATTAATCTTTTGCACTAGAGTGGCGTCAGATTTTTAAATGGCAACTCGAGCGGCGCTGATACGGCGCCCCTACTAATTTTAATTATATATATACATATTAAAATATATTTCATTTGTTCAATTATTAAAATATTTTTATAATTTTTACCTTACAAAACATTTTCTTTATTTCAACATTACAATACTATCACCATAATAAAAATAAACAAATAGAATTAGATAAAGAGAGAAAGTGTCGCGAGAGAAAATGAAATGAAACAAAAAATAAATCAAACGAAGAAATAAAATTTGTATTTCGTCAAATCTTGCAACTTTCCTCCTCTCTTCTCCCACCATCAACTTTACAGAACTATCAACATAATAAAAATAAACAAATCGAATTAAATAAAGAGAGAAAGTATCAGGGTAAGGAAATAAAATGAAATGAAATGAAATGAAACAAAAACAAAAATTAAAATCAAACGAAGAAATAAAATTTGTATTACGTCGAATATTGCAACCTAACCCCCCCCCCTCCCGCCCCACTCTTCTCCTCTCTGTTAACGTTACAACGCTATCGACATAATTATAGGCTTTCACGATTTATGCGATAATATAATTTCAACGATTACTTCCAACTTCATACCATTCCCTTTAAAAACTAAAATGCGGATCATGGCCGAGTTTGCATGCCGACGTAACTTTTGCGTTAAAAGAGGGGAAACGGAGGGGGGAGGGGGACTACGTTGCCACGAACGACACAATGGGCCACGTCAATGCATACGTGGATTTTATTTTAACTTCTTCTTTTTCTTTCCCTTTTTTTTTTATTTTTACCTTTCAATTGTCATTTTTAATTGGTTCGTTTCAATCTATTTTTACCTTAATCGAAAAATAAAAGAAAAAAGAACAAAATTGTTCATAATACAAATTAAAATCTATTATCAAAAATTTGATTTTAAATATAATACATTTTAATTACTTTGATAATTTAATTAGAAACTTTAGATACGTTTATTTAAAGTGTGGTAATTTATTATTTAACGTGTTTAATATTTCCTACATTGTATTTTTATTATTATACATTATCTTTAAGAACACTAAATAAAATATAAAAATAATAAGCAAATAAAGTAACAAAAGACTTGAAATCAGCCAGACGCCACTTAAATCATTTGGGCGCCGTATCAGCGCCACTCGACTACACAGAGTTAATTTAACTAATTTCAAATATTTTTCATTTTCTTCTTACATATACATAACAATACTAAAACTTTAAAGATCAACACACAAAAAACTGAATGTTTAATTGTTATTTTTTAAATAATAAATAAGAAATGCATTAAAGTATAGAAAAAAATGGTGCGTTTTGTATTCCTTTTTCTTTTGTCTTTTTTTTTAGGGACAACAACCACAAGCCGAGGATGAGAACACGCCTCAAAAAAGGGTCGACAAAATCTTCGATCAAATGGACAAGAATCATGACAATAAGCTTACCCTTGAAGAATTTCGAGAGGGTAGCAAAGCGGATCCAAGGATCGTTCAAGCTTTATCATTGGGTGGCGAGTAACCATATACAGCTAAAACTTATTATCAGAAAAGGACAGACGAGAGAAAAGGAACATTTCTTCGAAGATTCTTCCAACTCCTCTTCGTTGGGAGATGGAAAGAAAGAGAGGGTAGATTGGGGGGTGGTTGGTGGGGGTTGGAATGATTACTTCGTCGTTTTGATTTATCTAAATCCCATGGAAAAAGAATGGAACGTGAACAAACGTAGGAGTAATAAATAACGTTATGAAAGAAAACAAAAAAAAAAGAAAAAAAAATAAAAAAAAGAATGGGACAAAAAGGAAACAAAAACCTGAAGAATAGGGGTGAAAAAAAAAGATATAAATATAGGTGTATGTGTGTCACGTTTGGTTATCAGCATGGTGTAAAAGATAACTAAAATGAAAAATAGAGGAAGAAAAAATGGGAATAAAAAGAAACAATAAACGAATTAAACGAAAACACGTTGGAATGAAAAAGAAAATGGCAAAGAATAATTCGCATGATGAATTCAATGGGGTGGTGGAGGGTAGAATAATAACGAAAATGAAGATAAAGGATAAAGAAGATGATAAAAATGAAGAGAATACAAAAAAAAATGATATAATACAATGACTAAAAGATATTTATCCACAGATTAATCATCCAGTTTTGTGTTATAAATAATTTTTGCTAATCTTTTGACTTTGTTTATTACATTTCTTAATAAAAAATCAGAATACGATTGATATTACGATTTTTAAAAATTACAATGATGTCTCATAAAGTGTAGAAAAGTTAAAAATAAAAAAAAAACAAAGAGTCAGAGTGTGTATTAAAAAAGACAAAATAATAAAAATGATTAATAATAAAAAGAAAAACATGCAACTCAGATAATAGAATCGAATTCTAACAAAAATTGAATAAAAATTAAACAAAAATTTGCCCAAAAAATAAAAATGAAGAGAATATTTGTTGCTTGAGGGGTTGGTTTGTTGTATTGAATTATTAATAACAATTTTATTTGTCTTCATTAATTTAAAAATGTCAAATGATGGTTTTATAAACAAAATCTATTCAAATTATAAAGAAAGTTGAACAAAAATTTGTCTACAAAACAAAGTTGAAGAGAATATTTGTTGCTTGAGGGGTTGGTTTGTTGTATTGAATTGTTAATAACAATTTTATTTGTCTAAATTAATTTAAAAATGTCAAATGATATTTCATAAACAGAACTTATTCAAATTATAAAGAAAGTTGAACAAAAATTTGTTTTCAAAACAAAAAGATGAGAAGAAAATTCGTTGCGTTAGGGGTTGGTTTGTTGTATTGAATTGTTAATAACAATTTTATTTATTTAAATTAATTTCAATATGTCAAATGATGGTCTTATAAACAAAATCTATTTATTATAAAAGAAAGTGTTTTTTTCTCTTTTGTCCTTTTTTCTTCGTACGATTGAACGAAGAAACGTTGGATACGATAGTTCGAATTATCACCATCGACGAATGGAATGAGAAAAAGGGTGTGAAAAAAGGGTGAAGATGAGAAAGTAGGAGTTAGGGGTAGTTAAACCGCTTTTCTTCCTTCGTTTAATCGTGCGAACATGCCGAGCGAAGCAGCTTATCAAATGAAAATGCGTTAAAGTACGAAATGAGAAGAAGAAGAAGAAGAAGATGAAGAAAACGAAGAAAAAATAAAAAAAGGGATGAAAGAGAAAAAAAAATAAGAAATGAAATAGAAGAAGAAGACGAAGAAGAAGAAGGAAAAAAAAAATTAAAAAATACAAAGGGATGAAAGAGAAAAAAAAGTAAGAAATGAAATAGAAGAAGACGAAGAAGATGAACCAAGGGGAAAAAAAATAAAATTACAAATAAAAATGAATGGAAAGAAAAAGAAATAACAAATAAAAAAAAGAAGAAGAAGATGAAGAAGAACAAGGAATGAAAAAAAAAAATAAAAAATAAAACAACCCCCAATGCAAGCAAAAAAAAACAAAATTTAGAAAAGAAGAAGAATTCAGAGGAAGGAACAAAAAAATTAATAAAAAAAATAAAAATGAATGAAAACAAAAAAACAACCAAAAAAAAACCAAAAATTATAGAAAAAAAGAAGGGTGAAGAAAAAGGGAGGGGATGAAGTGGAAGAAGGCTTGGCAGAGGGTTGAAAGAAAATATCGCGAATGTAAGGGAGGATTAGTTTCTGCGAATGTGGGTGGTTGGTAAGTCAGAAGACTGGAACGGTGGAAAATAGGAGGAGGAGGAGGAGGTTGTGGATGATAAAAAGGGGGTGGAGGAGTTAAGGGGGTGGTAAAGAAGGGAGGCAAACCCACCGTGCCTTCTCATCGATCCCTCGTCTTTATCGGTTATAACGTTTTCAACATTTCTTGGAATATGTGACCAGTCCTACCTAATGTAACGTGCGTTTTCTTTTTTTACTGGAAAGAAAATAAAAAAAAGAAGAAAAAAAAAACCGAGAGAGACAGAAGTAGAAATAAAAAGAGAGAAAGAGAAAAAAGAAAAGGGGGGGAGGAAAAATAGGCGAATTGAAAGAGAAGTGGGAGAGTGAAGAAGGGGTAGTTTGAAAAGGTGATAAGAAAAGAAAAAAACAATTTTAAAAGATTTACTGATAAGGGGGGGGGGTGGTAGGTAAAGGAAGAGGGGTGGTGTTTAAAGGAAATTTTCTTCTTTATTTTCCCCCATTTTTTTTTTTTTTATTTTTATCTTTGCTTCTTTCTTTTTTCCTTTCTATTTTTTCTTTCTTTTTCTTTTTTTTTTTTGATTTTAAAATTCGTACGTTTTCTTGGGTAATAAAAGGGGAAGAAAAATGGTTAAAGATATGGAAAGAGAGGGTAGAAGGGGTGTAAAAGGTAAGGAAGAAAACGTTCATAGAGAAAGTTGTTGAATTTTTGAAGAACGTGAATTGCCATCCTGACGCAAACCCTGACACAACGTTTTTTTCTTTCTTTCTCTCGTTTCTTTTGGTTTTCATATTTTTTCCTCTTCTTCCTCTTCCTCCTTCCTCTTCTTCTTTTCCTTTCTTTTTCATTTTTTTTTTTTTTTTTATGTACGTATTTATATCCACTAAGGGTGAATAGGATGTGTTTGCTTATGGTTATTTTGCAGTATATTTTTGTTTTTCTTAAATGTCACGAAAAGAATCGTCGTCGTCAGTGATGGTGGTGGTTGGTGGTTGGAGATGATTCGTTGGTTGATGGTGGTGGTGAGTTCTGAAACAAAATGTCATTCTTATCTTCCAGTGGCATGTGGCATCCCATTTTTGTTTACACAAACGTGTAATGTTTATTTAATAATTAATTTCTTTTTCTTTTTCTTGTCAACTCAGTGCACCATCTTGTTTTTTTAATATTTTAAAAATTTGAGACAGGATTTAACTTCTGAAATAATTTTAATAATATATATTTTAAATATTATACTTATTATTATTATTATTATTATTATTATTATTATTGTTTTTTAATGTGTAAAAAATAAAAACATTGTCTTATGTCTGAAATATTTGTGTTTGCATATGTAATTGTAATCTAAAAATTAAATACAGTTTCTACAAATTCTTAAATATACTTTCTGAAATAATTCTAATAATATATTTTTTAATATTATATTTATTATTATTATTATTATTTTATTAATAATAATAATCCCTTTTTTTATATGTTAAAAGAACAATTAATATTTTATTTCTGAAATATTTATGTGTGTTTGCATATTTAAATATAAATATTTTAAATAAATTCTTTCTTCAATGAAATAATATTTAAAATAATAATATTAATATTAATAATACTAATAATATAATAATAATAATAATAATTTATATCTGAAAAGGAAAATTAATATTTTAATTCTATAATATTTGTGTTTGCATATTTAAATATAAATATTTTAAATAAATTCTTTCTTAAATCAAATACTATTTAAAATAATAATATTAATATTAATAATACTAATAATATAATAATAATAATAATAATAATAATAATAATAATAATAATAATAATAATAATAATAATAATAATAATAATAATAATAACATCGAATGCCATGAACAACATTGATCATATTTTTTTATTAACATTTGTTTTTCAAACCTAAAATGTAAAATTAGAATTTTTAGAATTTTCAACTCGTACAAAAGTGCACTGAGTTCTTGACACTTATCATCATCATCATCATTATCACTCTATCATTATCAATATTATTATTATTATTATTATTATTATTATTAACTATCTATAAAAATACTCTCATAAATACTATTTGCTGTTGCACGTCATGTTTTATCTTTCTACAAAACTTTTAATCTAATTCATTCATAAAACAATTAATTCTTAAACTTGATATTTCTTTAAAACAAAAAAAAAATAAATAAATAAAATATTAAATAAATTAAAAAAAAAAAAACAGTCTATATTTTCAAACGAGTTAATATAAATGAATAGTTTTTAAGTCTATTTATCTATTAATCTTGATCTATTCTATCTAATCTATCTGTAGATGTATTTGTAAACGTTAAAAAAAAAAAAAAGTAATGAGAAAATGTCTCGTATTATAAGATAAAATTTGAAATCGATTTAAAACGTGAGATATTCAAGAGTACAGGGTTATAATTTTATCCACCCTATCCGTAATTGGATATCTCTGAATGTCGAGTTTATCGACGAACTTGTACGAACACATATTCACTAATACCAATGCAATTTCCTATATCACCAAATGCAATACGGTCCAGCTCTTATCGTTATTTATCTATTGTTAAATATATATACTATATATATATATATATGGGTGGGTATATACCAGCATGGTTCGTATTAGTGAGTAAAAAGGGTGAAAAAGTAAAGTACTATCGTTCGATTATCGGAAAAACCTAACACTACCCCTGAGTGACATAATTTTAAAGTACTACTCTACTATAACCCCGAAAATGTTCGTGTTTAGTATTTAAAAGCTATGTCAAATGATTTATCATTTTTAAAATATATATATATATATATATATATATATAGAAAAAATGATTATATTATTTTGTTTAAAAGAGCTCGAAAATTTATATTTATTTTGATTAATATAAAAAATTATTGTACTACTTTTTAAAAATGTTTGTTAAATTTATAATAATTTTTATTAGTATAAAAAAATTATTATATTATTTTTTTTTAAATATTTGGAAAATTTATATAAAATCATTTTATATATATAATTACAAATATATTATTAGTATAAAAAATTATTATATTACTTTTTTAAATATTTGGAAAATTAATAATATAATTTTTATTAGTATGAAAGATTATTATATTACTTGTTTAAATATTTGGAAAATTAATAATATTATTTTTATTACTATAATAAAAAGTATTATATTATTTTTTAAATATGTGAAAAATTTATAATATTATTTTTATTAGTATACAAGATTATTATATTATTTTTTTAAGTATCTACAACATTTATAATTATTTTTTTTTAAATATAATTTTTATTAATATAAGAAATTATTATATTATATATATATATAATAATTATTATAATAATTTTATAATTATATTATTAATATAATATAAGTAAAATTATTATAAAAATTAAA